GTTGCTGCTGCTGCAATAGCAAATACATTTCTATACCATTTATCAGTGAATTAACATTCCCTAAACAGTTTATATTATGTACATCATCATCATCATCATCATTATTATTATTATTATTATTATTATTATTATTATTATTATTATTATTATTTGTATCCTGCTCTTTTCCCAGAACTGGGACCCGGAGCGGCTCGCAATATTAAAAGAGCAATGCAATTAAAAACAGAATTGGGGTGAATGTGAACTCAGATGGTCTTCATCCAAAGATTTTGCAAATCTTTTGGTTTCATGGTATAGCTGGGAGGCAATGCGTTCCTTTCGTCCATTGGGTTAGAAAAATGACTTGATCCAAATATAGCTTGCCTAAGAAAGATCTCCGCTTTGAATACTTTTTAGGCAATAGAATGGTTTATCTCTTACTGGGTCTCACACATAAACACATATACGCATCCATAACATGTTCACTGTGATATAAATTACAGTATGATCTGGAAGAATGCACTGTTGGCAATGCTTTGCTTTTGGAACAATGCTTTCATGGGAAAGACCAGTTCTGCTTTCAAGCTGAGATGGAATTCAATATATAGGTTTTTCCCCCTTCCTGTCACCTATATAGATGCCTTTACCATCTTAACTGCATCCCTTCCATCAAATATACTTTGATTTTCTCTCAGACATTGTCTATCTCTGAAATGAAAACCTAGCAACAAAACCCTGGAAGGATTAGCCTGCATAGTTTGGGGGGAATTCAAGAGCAGGCAAACACTATTTCCTTTTTTATCAGTCCAAAATTCTGCAATGATCATGGTGCTATGAGTCTTTATGGAATCCAGGGTCCAAAACTCACTGCAAAAATAATCCAGTTTGAGACGGCTTTAACTTCCCTGGCTCAGTGCTAGGGAGTCCTGGGAATTATAGTTTATTGTGGCACCAGAGCTCTCTGACAGGGAAGGCTAAATGTCTCACAAAACTACATTTCCCAGGATTCCCTAGCATTGACCCCTCCAGATGTTGCTGGAATGCAATTCCCAGCAGGTACTAGCCCATATAGTCAATGGGCAGGAATGCCGGAGGTTGTAGTCCTAACATCTGGAGAGTGTTACAATTCCCACCTTGCCTTAAGGCTTCAGTTTCCATCCAATATGGACAATGGTGAGCAATTGTGGGAGTTATTGTCCAAAGTATCGGGGAGGGGGGCAAAGCTTTTTCTTACCCCTGACTTAGGTTGTTTTTTTTCATTTGGAAAAAAGGGAGAGAGGTGGTCACCCATTTTGGAGTGTATGTTGCATCTCACACAAGCTACGTTAACTTTTGCTAGAGAAACACCAGCGAGAGCCAGCATGGTTTGATCATTGGTGTAGGACACTAGAAAACCAGGATTCAAATCCCTGCTCAGCTATGGAAACCTTCTCCGTGACCCTGGGCAAGCCACACACTCTCAGCCTCAGAAGAAGGCACAGGCAAACCCCCTCTGAACAAATCTGGCCAAGAAAACCCTAAGATGAATCAGAAATAATATGAAGGCACATAATAACAAGAGGAACGCCATGTAAACCAGCCAGGACTACGATGTTGCAAGAAAATGAGGTGTGTTTGCAGAAGTATTTTTATTTTACTCCTGGCAAACATTTGCAGTTGAACACATAGACAATCTGTCCATGAGAAGAAAGAAATCAAATTGTTCCTTTTTAAACTGCACAAAGAAGCAAGTTATCATTTTAAGGCTGCCACCCTATAGCAGGATGTCTTTCTGCATTGACACATTCTCTCTTTTTTAACTTCACGGCCCTTAAAGTTCTCCCTTTTCTTTCCTCCGTTGACATTTCCGTATGTAAGCGCGTTGGGGCAAGGACTTCCCTTTCATTCCTGTAACTTGTTCCTCTGCAAAACATTGCACACAATGGTGGATAGCTCTAGAAACAATAAAATGACGATTCCGCTGTGCCAACAGGGTCGGAGAGGTATTTTTCCTGACTGAATGAAGCAAAACAAATCCAGAACATGGCATTGGCCTCCTTGTGCAAGGTCAACGCCGCCATTCCTCAAAATCTCCCAGCCATTTATCAGCAGGTGAATTGCCAAGCAAAAGCCGGGAACAAGGGTGTTGCTAATTGAAGTTAGTTTCTTATCAGTATTCTGGGGGTAGAGCTGCAATATTTGCACACACTATGATTATAAAATCCCATGGTGTGTCTTGGAAAAAATACACCCATGGAAGCTTTGTTGCTCCTGCGCCTTAGATGTGGCTGTTTTCTTTATATGCTTACACCTGACACACTTTGCATTGGTGTAAAAAGTCACTCTTGCAGTCCACGGAAACAAACATGAGCAGCGATTCCTTATTCCAGAGCGGCACACCTTTCCTGAATATTTTTATTATTAATCCATTTTGTTTTGGCACTCTTGCTTGGAGTATGAATGAGTGCTCAGTTAATTTGCGAGATAAGGACATCCCTGATTTCAGGATATTTTAATGGTTTGATAAAGCAAATCGACTCAGCTGTATTGAAGGGTCATGCTTCTAAGGTTCAAATGTTGGATCAAAATCAAATGTTTTGTTTGTTTGTTTCAGATTTTCTTCAACTTTCAGATTAAGAGTCCCTCTTTCACTTAGAAAGGTAAAGGTTCCCAAAGAGCTCAGTTAGAACATTGCTGAAATGTGTAAGAACCATTTATGATGGCAACATTTTTGGGAAATGCTGAAATGTGTAAACAACATTCATGACTGCAATACTTTAAAGAAAACATATCGAACCTACCAATATATAAAACAGATCAGGGTCCAAAACACACTGCAATTCCCAGGATTCCCTAACTCTGAGCCAGGGCGGTTAAAGTGGTCTCAAACCGGATCATTTCTGCAGTGTGTTTTGGACCTAGATGTACACCATCAAAATAGAAAACAATTATATTGATGTTCTCATGCCAAATGGTTTAAGGCTGAGGCCAGTTGTCCTATTCCAGTACTGCATGAATAGAGAGAGGTTTTCATCATGCTTACTCAAAAGTAAATCATACTCAAGTCACTGGAACTTTATAGACAGAGCAGGCTATATTTTATGAAAAATAAACTCAGATCATCCCTGTCTCAGTGGGCTTCTTTAAATAAAACATAAATTTAGTAAAACTTGTTTCATGCCATGTTCTGTTAATCTAAGCCTTGACTGATGGAGGTCTTCCTGAGTTATTTGTTTTTCTTGATGCAAGAAATCCTGGACCTCGTGGTTAGACATGTCTATTCTGACAAGAAATCCCTGGGAGTTTCAACAGTGTTCTTTCCCATCTTGGCTTGAAGATGCCAGGGAGTGGAATCTATATATGCAAAGCATGTGCTTTGCCATGTTTCTTTCTAAGTTGGAGTATATAAAGCTGCCTTATTCCAAGCCATTGTATTTTCTTGCTCATTATTGTATGCACTGGTGCTACTCAAAGTGGGGGACCCTGGACCATTGGCTGCCAGTCCCTGGCAAGTTTTCAGGAAAGGAAGAAAGAAGTATGCCCAGTGGGCACAAATGTGGTGCCAGTCCCTGGCACATTGGAAAACAGTATGGTAGTGATTGCCCTTTCCCACATCAGATAGCCCAAGAAACACTGGTCTGTGCTACAACTGCTGGCAGTGATTCTCTGGGGTTCATAAAGGAGCTTTTTCATAGCCCTGAGTCACGGCTTCTCCTCAACGGATTGGACCCAGTCCTAAAGAAATCCAAGTAGTGGGTTACTGGGGAGATCCCATAATTCTTGAAACAATAGCAATTTTATTCTTTAGCCATTGGACAGATTGTGTCCAAACACAAACACACACACACACACTCCCTCGTGATGGGACAATAGATGGATTGTTAAATTACTTCTCACTTCCTTATGGAGATTGAAGATTTTCATTTGATTTGCAAGTTGCTACCTTCACTTCCCATTGCAAAGGTAAGCAGAGTTTCCTATGAACTTTCATCAGCGCAAAAGGTCCATTCTCCCTGTGATCTAGTACAGCAGTGGGGATCACGTGGCTCTCCAGATCTTGATGGACCTCAGCTCTAGGCAGCACAGACAATGGTTAGGAATGCTGGGAGTTGCAGTCCAACCACATCTGGAGGAATGCATGCTCCCTCACCCTCCTTTAGCCAACTGACACCAAGATTAGGCAAATGGTAGATGAAGATCTCCTGGTAGATGAGATCTCTTAGTGACTGGCAAAGACTTTTTTCCTGACTTTCTTTGGTTTAACCACCATGATGATTTTTCCTACCTAAATTCAGCTGCTGAAATGAAGAAACCTTCAATGGAATGGGCTTTACATACACTCAGTTCAGTTAAGGAACTGAAAAGCAAAGACATACCTTATTTTCCTGCATATAAGATTACTTTTTTACCTGCAAAATCTGTGGCTAATTTTGTGGGGGGGTCGTCTTATACGCCGGATATAAAGATAATGAGGATAGAGGTGCTAAGACTCTATATTTTGACTGGGAAAATGGGGGGGTCGTCTTATACGCGGGTTGTCTTATACGCCGGAAAATACGGTACTCAGTTGCCATGTTCTTTAATTCCAAGTGTACATCTCTAGTTGGTGGCTCTTGCTTCATAACTAATTTTAAAAACAAGCAAAATAAATCGGAGCAGTAGGAGGAACCGGGGGAACATCCATGGAATCCACAGAAGAAACTGGAAATACATGTCAAGATGCTCAAAAGATGTTTGTTTTATTAGTTTAAAAAGGCATGATGCATATCAGCCTGTGCAGACTCCCAGGACCTTCCTGGGGGGCTATTTAGAATCAATGTTCAGACATTTCTGGACCAGGGTCGCATTCACATTAGGGAATTATAGTGCTGTTATTCCACTTTAACTGCCATGGTTCCATCCTATGGAGTCCTGGGATTTGCAGTTTAGAGAGGGGCATTTAGAATTCTCAGCCAGAGAGTTTTAGCGCCTCCCCAAACTATAAAAACCCAGAATTGGATAGGATGGAAACATGGCAGTTAAAGTGGAGTAAAGTGGAGAGAGACAGAGTGGTGTAGTGGTTTGAGTGTTGGACTATGACTCTGGAGACTAGGGTTTGATTTCCCACTCGGCCATGAAACCCACTTGGGCGGGTCACATGCTCTCAGCCTCAGAGGAAGGCAAACCTCCTCTGAACCAATCTTGGCAAGAAAACCCCATGATAAGTTCACCTTAGTGTAGCCATACATTGGAAACAACTTGGAGACACACAACACACACACACACACACACACAATAGCACTATACGTGTGTGGTGTGAATGGGCTCCAGGAATTCTCAAGCAAAACATCTCCAGCGAATGATTTGAGAATTCTTGACCCAGACATTTCTAAACGTTGGTTCTAAAGAGCCCCTTAGGAAGGCCTTGGGTGTATGTATACACAGGACAAAAAGTGGATTAAACCTAATCCAAGGTTAGATTCTCCCTTTTGTTTCCTGCCTTTTTCTCCTATCAGCCTATAGATTCTGTTTATCTTCCCTTCCCATCTCTAATTCTCCCCTCAAAAAATCAGGTGAGTTCCAAATGAAGTGCATTTTTCCTTTGCATACCACCTAAAACCTGGTCTTTCATGCATCTGCGACCAAATTTGCTTTTTCCACTGTATGTCCCTGGGAGGGTTGGGAAAAGGAAAAACTGGAGGGTAGAGAGGGTCGTAGATGGAGAAAGAGAACTTGGAGTAACACTTCCAGAATTAAGAGTCTGTGCTGGCTGAGCAAATTTTGGGTGTTGTTGCCTTGTGAATGTGCAAGCAAAGGGAGTGGGTGATTTGATGTTAAAAGCAACCGTTCTTAATCCAGAAATCTGCATTGCTGAAAACCATGGCTGGACTTTGGGTGCTGGCACTGATTTTTCTCTTTGTTGATGAATCCTTTGGAGGAAGAAGAAAAAAAGCCTGTTTCAAAAGGAAAGATAGCATTAAAAGCAAAGGGAGAGGTTGGAAGCTATTCCCCGCAAGGCATCCGTTGATTAGAGAACTTACAAGCAAGGCTTAAAAAAAGATGGAAACCTAGATCCCAGTGAGTCGGAAAATATGTACCAGCTGAGGTTTGCTTGGGCTAGAAAAACAAGAGCTTTCCAAAGCCAGCAACTTGTGGATGGAGAAACTGCACTACACTCTGATGTTGCTTGGCTATTTGCCTCCCAGTTTTCACCTGTGAAATGTCGTAGGATATGAATCCATTAGTGGCTAGGATGGTGTTCTCGGGTTGGCAGTCATGAATAAACTGCATTTTCCTCAGGAAAGTAGTTGTATCCCTCCCTTAACTTGGATGCACTGGTGACTTGTACAGTCTAAGGGTGGAATCCATCCATCCAGACTCCCTCACAAGGAGAGCTCTTATGCTTTTGGCTTTTCCTTTTGGCAAAAATTCAAGATCTGCCCTAGTTGGTGGAGTTCAGGATAGATAGAGTGAAGGAAGACATGGAGAATGGACCCAACAAACCTGATGTCTGCTTATACTCAGTCTATGCATATACCTGATACAGAACTTTTTGCGCATCAGCCGCACTGTCTCAATACATTTCATATGCTCCAACTGTTTGGATTTGGCAGGATTCAAAGATATAGTCATTTTAGTCTGTAGTATCCGTATGTAGAGAGATCTTGTTGCACCTTTGAGACTCACCGAAAGAAAGAAGTTGGCAGCAGGAGCTTTCCTAGACTTCAGTCTACTTCCTCAGATGCTTATGCTGCCAACTTCTTTATTTCACTTATTGTTTCAAAGGTGCTACAAGACCTGCATACTGGATTTGGCAGGGACAGCCTTGAGTATTCCTCTTTCATCCCACTTTTCCAGCTGTTTCTAAAATGTTCCACTTTCTCTCTCCTCCCACTTCCCCTCTTTGTCCCAGTTTTTCAGGGAGAGCCCCCATTAACCCATTGCTGTCCCACTTTTTTAAAGTGTCTTTGAAAATGTCCTGGTTTCATTCTTCTCCTCCTCCTTTCCCCCTTTGTCCTTAACAAAGATTGCCTGGAATGATTGGTTCAACAGATGGGAAAAGCCATGCTGCCCTACACTGAAATGGCTCCTAAGAACTGCGGCCTGAAGCTGCATCTCCATGGCAGAAATAATGCAGTTAGACACCGCTTTAAGTGCCGTGGCTCCATGTGATGGAAATCTGGAATTTGTAGATTTGTGCGCTCCTTAGCCTTCTCCATCAGAGAGCTCTGGTGCCTCAACAAACTACAATTCTCAGGATTCCATAGCATTGAGCCATGGCAGTTAAAGTGGTGTCAAACTGCATTATTTGTGCAGTGCAGATGCCGCAGGAGGCAGCCACTTTGCTCTCCCTAACACAGGGCTGCTCATAGGGAAAGATCTGAGTCATTTCATTAACCTTGTCCATCCATGAGGATCAAGAAAAGATCCATGGTGGGAATTATTTAGAACTGCAGCTCCCAGCAGCCTCACCAACATAGCCAATGGTGAGGAACGATGGGAGTTACAGTCCAACACTTCCTATCCCTGCTTCATAAGTAGCAGTCTGCTCTAAAACAGAACCTGCTTGCCCAAAGAATTAATAGTCCAAAGGTGGGTGTTGTTGTTTTTCTAAGGGACGGTGGACAGGAAGGTGTTTATTAATTAATCGGACTATCTCGTTTCTGTCTCTCTTTTACCTTAAAAGATCAGATAATAAACCCGGTTGCTTGGCATTCTAAGTGGAAAAGGGAGTTACACAAGAGGGATGAACAATTTTAATATATTTATTAGCCTGATTAGCCAGCTGCAACCAGGAAGCCGGGGTGCGGAGGGGGAGCTGAGAAAGTGATTTTCTAAATGCTACGCCTAGCAAAGCCTTTTTAAAAAGAGAGAGAAAAAATGAGAGAGAAAATGTTGAAAGACCACAGCAGTCTGATAACACACTGCGATTAGTTGTACTTTCCATCTGACCTTTGTGGCCCAAATGGATCGATAAAAAGGACAGGGAGAAACCGGAGAGAGGGGAAGAGGCTTGTGTTATGTTTAAAATTTCCCCTGGAGACAGTTAATCCTTAAGTTCATGGTACAACATTGTCTTAAAGCATCTTTCCCCGGGTCCCAGCTGTAGTATCTTGGGGGAAGAGAAAGATGGTTGATGATGGCAGGCTTTTGGATTGGGGACAGCGTTTCGGTGTCCTTTCCTCGCGTGTATCAAATGTATATCTGATTATATGGAAATTGGAGCATGGAAAACAGCAAGAGATATGCATACAAATATGAAACCCAGACGCCGTTTGCATATCGATCAATCTGTTCGCGTGTTAAAATGGAGATTTCACCGCCACTGCAGGTTTTCAAAACCTGTTTTGCTTTGCTGTTTGTTTTACAAAAGGAACTTGCATCCTGAAAGCTTATTAGATTCATATGGGGAACTGGTGGGCTAGCTCAGGAACCCACCTTTGAACAGTAGGAGCCATCCGCATTGAATGCAGATTGAAAAACCCCTTGGTTTCAAAAGGAACTGGTGTCACAGTGTAGCTCCTAACCATCAAGAGCCAACATGGTTTGAATGGGAGACCAGGGTTCGAATTGTCTTTCAGCCATAGAAACCCTCTGGTTGAACTTGGGCAGGTCACACTCTCTCAGCTGCAGTGAAAGGCAGGGGTGAACCTCCTCTGAACAAATCTTGCCAAGAAAACCCTGTGATGAGCTTGCCTTAGGGTCAGTCTGTCAGAAATGACTTGAAGACACACAACAACAACAACAACAACAGACCTTCAGAGAATCCGTAAATGTGTGACACAGAAGGTGTTTCTGAATCCCTCTCATCTTTCCATGAAATGTTGTTGCACTGAAGTTCCTGTTTCACTGAAGAGGAATGATGGGTGTTGCACTCCAACAATAACTACAGCAGAACTTGGGAATGGTGAATCCAGAATCCTGCAGCCAAAATAAATCAGGAGTTGGGGGCAAAACCCTTCCCAACATCTTGGATAGCAGTTGCGAGTCAGCAGTAGTGCCTAATGGTTCCCATGTCAGTGGAGACGTGAATTCATTCTGGGTTTTAATCTGACCTTTAAAAGGTAGCGTAGAGTTCAGCACCCTTTGGAGTCTGGACTAAAACCCAGATCAGATTCATCACCCGACATGGAAGCCACCAGCTGCCAAAGTAGGTACCGGTAGTCCCAAAACATAATCCAGTCATCCCCTCTTATCCGTGGATTCTTTATCCATGGATTCAAGCATCCACATCTTGAAAATATTTTTAAAATATATATAAATTCCAATATGCAAAACCTGATTTTGGCATTTTATATAAGGGGCATCATTGTATTTAAGGGGGCTTGAGCATCCATGGTATCCCAGCAGATACCAAGGGCCCACTGTAAGCAAATTTCTGGGAGTTGTGGACAAGATAGGATTAGATGGAGAAGACCATTGATGTGGCTTTAGTTTAACACAGCTTCCATTGTATTGCTGGAAGAGCTCGCTTCCCAGTTCTCTGGATCCTGGCCTATATATTTAAAGGCTATTCATTTTTAGCTGTAAAATGACCTTCCAGAAGACTTTAAAATACCAATGCAAAGGGGAAAGGGGACATCTCAGCAGGGGAGTGCATGCTTTGCATGCATCAAGTTTCTAGTTCAGTCCCTGGCATCTCCAGTTATAGGATCTCCATTGGCACAAATGGAAGAGACCGCTGGCCCTGGCCTTGGAAAGCCATTGAACAAAGGAGACAAGGCTTCTCTGGAGGGATCAATGCCAAAAAGGAAGCGCCGTGTGTCATCTTTGGCTGCCATTTTGACTTTATATTATTCCCACTGCTACTGTTTGACAAGAGAGTCTGTACTTTTTAGGCCATGAGCCATGCTGGTTGGGGATCCTGGGAGTTGTCATCCAAAAAGGTTGTTTCTCCATGCTCTGGGGGAGATTGTAGTTGAGCGGTCGAGTATCTGCTTTCAGAGCTGAACCAAATAATTTGCTGCCCGAGGCCAAGAGGCAAATGGCGCACCCTGCCTCCCACTTACTTCAGTACCTCAATCCAGCCAAATTATTTTCGCACCCAAAGCACTTTACCTCCTCCTATATCTGGCAGTAAAATAAATCAAGTAACAGCCTGCTGTCTTTTTCACAACACCCTAAATTTGCCACC